CATCCCAAAGATAAGATCAAACCCAACAAGGTCTAAAACCGCAATCATCAAATGGCCAAAATAGAACCACCACAATCCAAAATCGAGCCCAGCAAGGGCCAAAACAAACAAAGCCACACCCCAAATCAGCCTTAAACCGAGCCCAACAAGGACCAAAACCAAGCCCAGCAATATTAAAATCCAGGCTTCCATAAAAATTAAAGTTCTAGCCATTTCAAGCTAAAACCAATCCAAAACCGAGCCACAGCTAAGGTTCGAATTCAGGTCATGACAAAATAGTAGAAAGAAAACATTTCCATACCCCTGAGACATCGAAATATAGAAACGACACATGCTTTACACAAGAACAACTACAGAATTATCCCGAATCAACATAAATTCATTCACCACACGTATATTTGATCCAAAACACCTGTGGGATGCCTAGACCGAGCCCAACAGGGGCCAAAATCGAGCCCAGCAGGGGCCAAAACCGAACCCAATGGTATTAAAATTTAGGCCTCCATAAATGATAGAGCTCTATTCATTTCAATTAAAAAAAAAACAAGACTCCAAACCCAGCCAAAACCGAGCTCAACAGGAACCAAAAGCCAAAACCGAGCTCAACAAGAACCAAAAGCCAAAGCCAGAGCTCAACAAGATCAAAACATGCCCAAACATTGATATAAATTCATACTTTAATAGAAATTAAAGTTCCAGCCACCTGTAGGTAAAACCCAGCCATCCAAAGCTAAGAAACAACCTGCATGTCTAAATATCATAAGCATGAAATTATTCCAACAAATATTTGAACAGGAGAGGAACTTCACGAGGAGCTAAACCAAGCCCTCAAAACAAGGTACAACACTTTCCACATTAAATAGATTTTCTGATAGCATACATTTCAAGCCAGGGAAAGCCACAGGAAGCCAAAATCGAGCCTCCAAACATGCATAAAACAGTGAAATGAACTCCCTATCATTCATGAAAGGCCAAATAACTTCTCCAATATTTCATGCTAAATGAAAATAAGTGAAAAACTTCATAATTCTCATCCCAACATGCTTGCAAGAGGAGCAAAAAAATTTATTCCAAAGTCATGTCTTAATTCCCTAACTGTTTCCAACATAAACATGTCACAATAATCATAAATATGTCATAGCCTCCCTAGTTTAAGCGAGTAACCAAGTTTAGCTCCTAGGACATGCCCACATTTCCATTTCTAAATGCACCTGAAGTGAATATCTCAACAATATATCAAATTAAAATGAACTAGCATGCTGTATCATCCAACAGAGCCAAGTTCAAAGGCTGGACAGAGAGGAAAATCGAAAGGCAACGAGGCACTGAGAGAAAGTGGGGAAGAAGGGTACCTTCCTTTGATACCAATGTAAAGCACCGCAACACAAGAAGCTATCTCAAGAATATGCTCTCACAGGAATCTCCTCCTAAACTTCTCCCACAACCAAAAATTTCTATCCCTCTCAGAAAATTTTTTCAACAACAACCCAAAAAAAATCAAAAGAAACTATGTTTATAGGCAGAGAAGAGAGGGGACGAGACAGAAGAAGATCACCCCTTAAACCCACGACACTCGAATCGGGCCAAAGAAGAAAAGGACGCGCTCCCTGCTCACGGAAGGCGAAGCCACCGAAACATCTCAGACCGAGCGGCAAGCCCAGTAGCAGCGAGAGAAGCATCAAAAAGAAGAGAGAGTTTGACATTCAAGTGTACCGGGGAGTAAGCTTCCTAGAGTCAAACTACAAATAAAAGGATAAAACACAGCTCGGGGAGACTGGCACGGCTTCGGGAAGGAGGGCCGCAGGCAGAAGAATGTCAGACAAGGACGAACGAGGTCAATTTTCTCTCGCGTGGAGGAGGAGAAGCTCGGTTGGCTCGAGACCGAGAAAGGGAAAGGCCAGACACGCGAATGGGAGAGGGAAGGGAGGCAGAGCTCGGGTGCGTGAGTTTAGGGATTTAGTGCTGAAAAAGGATAGGGGATCTGGTTTTATATAAATTAATATATATATTAAATTATATGCGATTTATTCACGCGCAGCGTCGTAACAAAATGAGTGTCATCCTTGGGCAAAATCGACGCTCCGGATGTGCCGGTGCAGTCCGTTTTGTCATCCGGGGTCGCTCGGATGACATCGTCGACAATCGGGTCAAAACAACGCGTCAAAATTCAAATTCTACCAAATTTTGACCCGCTATCGATCGTTCCAAAAGGTTTATTCGAGCCTTCGACAGGTAACAGTGCAAGCAATGCGAGTTGTGGCGATCAGACGTGTCGACTCTCCGAATTGCGAAGTTTTGTGCGCGGGAGTGCAAATTGTGCAAAAGGTCACCCTAAGGCTCAAAAGGTCCTATAGGAATCCCTTTTGGGTTTCCTCATGTTGGTTTCATCTTTCTAAGTGCTAGAAGTTGATACCACACACGCGAAATAACAAAATAGTACAGAAGCAGGTTGAATTTTTGGAACGAGGCGGGTCACATTTCTAAGGTTCTAAGATAGTCGAAAGGAGATCCCTAAAGCTATATCCTAAACCCTAAGAGGAAGACTAGATCTCACTAAAAATGAGGTCAACAAGGAGCTACATCTACCCTATCACTGATATATTCATTTCGCATTTCGTCTCTATGTGTAAAGCCACTCATCCACCTAATCATTCTCATCTCGGCAACGCTTAACTTAGTATTTTGCTTCTCTTTTAAAGGCCAACATTCGGCGCCATAGAGCATTGCAGGTCTTACCACCGTCTTATAAAATTTTCCTTTCAGTCTAAGCGGTACTTTTCTATCACACAAAAGGCCCAAAGCATTCCTCCACTTGCCAACTAACTTGAATTCTACCATAAACATCCTCATCCATATCACCATCGCTTTGAACAACAGACTCGAGATATCTAAATCTTTCACATCTTTTAATTTTCACATCTTTTAATAATTAATTTGATCACCCAAAGTTACACTTTTGTCACTAGAGCTACTACTACTAAATATACATTCTATGTATTTAGTTTTAGTTCTACTCAAATGAAGGCCTTTAAACTCCAATGTAGACCTCCGCAATTCACCGTAATTCAAGTTTTTCTCGGGCTTTTTCTCTTGTCTTATCCACGAGAAGGATATTATCAGCAAAAAGCATACACCAAGGTACAATGCCAATCAAGACTGCTTAGGAAAAAAAAATATTTTTTTTCTTGAGGCATTTACTTCATTGCTGATAGTGAATGAACTCAGTAATGGTGTACATTTATTGATAGCTGTTTATGTTAGCTATCCAATCCCAGTAAACTGCGATTTTTTAGCTCAACTTTAAAATGGAGGCAGACTTCTAGTCTGGCTTGATTTTGAAGTTGTACAAAATTTTATGAAGTTTTCTCGCCCATTACAAATAGTAATGCTAAAAAAACATGTACATTTTTGAGAAATTCTTCTTTCTTCTGACTCATGTCTATTAAAATGGCTCTAGATATGGAGTTATCTAGGTTTGAAATTATTTGAGGTTCGAGTTCAAAATCATTTGATCGTCTGGCTTTTTCTTGAGGTTTGATATATTTATGCAACTTAAGATTTGCAAGCTTTAATCGTTGTATGGTTAATATTGAATGCGTTGTGCGCTGGATATTGTTATATTCATATTCATACCATTTTCTTACCTTCTTGGACGGAGGCTAAAAAATGTTTAATCATATTCACTTGAACGGTTGATCAATTTGAAGGCCTTTTTGACTTGCGCAGTCACTGATTCTAGCTTTTCGAAACCGAAGTGGAAAAAAGTTCTGGTATCGTAATTAAAATTGTATCAGAATAGGCTTGAGAATTATTTTTTTAACTCTGAGATTAGTGCTGCAATACAAGCGCTTCATATGCTGAAGTTCCTTTTTTGATATTTGATTTTGATTTAGTAGATGAAAAAAAACCTATGTTTTCATATTTGCTCCATCTGATTTATAATGTGCAATTGGCGATCCATTTTCTGTCGTAAGACCGACCACCAACCTTTTTCAAGCTTGTTAGCGTTCTTATGACTTAATGGTTTTATTTTAACTTGAATTTTTGAAATCCTTAATATTGTTTCACTATAAAGTCCTATTATTATGACTAATTAGGATGTGGTAATCTGTTGCAGATTCATCAGCTTCTGTTCATGATAGAACATCTCAAACTTCTCACGTTGTTGTCGACCCGATTGCAAGAATTCCATTTGCTGTGGTTGATGAGATAAGCGAAGTTTCTCCAGCAGCAGAAGATGGGTTGCAACTTGGAGACCAGATCATAAAGTTTGGGAGTGTTGAAATAGGTGATCCATTGATGGCAAGGCTTGCTTCAGAAGCACAGTCAAATGAAGGCCATCCTGTTCCTCTGCTGATAATGAGGCAGGGTATTCTAATGAATTTCACTGTAACACCTAGACGCTGGCATGGCCGTGGACTGTTGGGGTATGTTTCTCTAGTGTTATTTATGTCTTGTTTCCCATTTTAATGACCAGTCAAGATACAATATCTTTCATAGCATGCTTAAACATTTGAGGTTTTGTGCCAGGATTGTTTGAAAGGTCAGATTCCTGATGCTGAATATAAAGAATCATTTTGGATACTTAAATGGCTAAGCAAACGGATCTATTGATTTAATCAAGTTAAATACATTAGAATCAATTGTGTAAAATAGAATCTTAGTTATAGTTGGAGACTTTAAGAAAAGATGGATGCGCTGTTTCTATAATTTATTTAATTAAAGTAATATGAAAGAAAATATATTGGAAGAGTGTAATTAAAGAAGTACTATGGTATAGTGTAGATTAATCTAAAAAAATGGGTAGTGTTGGCTTTGAAAGTTTTTGGTTTAGATAAGATATATATTAAGATTTGAAAGATTTGGAGAGATAAGAGGGTACTATTGTTATTTGTATAACAGAAGTTTTCAATGGAAATTGAAGAGCAAGTGAATATAAAATGATTGGAGAATAATGTTTAAGCGCAAAATTGATTTACAAGGTTGTGGTTATAATAAAGTAATCCAAATTATTAGTAAAAAGATATTATGTCATTTCAGAGGATCTTTTTTGTTTAATACCAGAAAATCCACTATGGAAGTTATTTTCGTGTTAGGATAATTAGTTGAATATTATAAAGAATAGAGAAATGATCTTTATATGAGTTGTTATTAATCTTGGGAAGGTGAATAAGTTTCATGACAATTAATTTAGTGCGCGTTGAAGAAGAAATGTATCGAAAATATATGTTTAAGTTATAAATGAAATGTACGATGGGCTCTGACTAATATTAACTGAAGTTGATCAATGGCCATATTATGCATTAAGATTGCATCAATATTGAGTCTATGTATATTTGCATTGGCTATGAAAATACTTGCAAATGACATACTTAGGTGTTTTTGTGTTTTTTTTATATATGAAATAGTTGTAATTGGTAAGTCGTCTATCGAACTAAGGGGAAGGTTCGAATAATGAAGAATTCATTGAGAAGATGATGTGCTGATAAAAACTTGGATATAAAATATACAAGTTTAGTTGGTTTGATATTAATAATATCAATTAATATTATTAGAAGGTAAAGTGATACCTAGATTTGATTGGTTTTCGTATCTTGGTTCTATTATATAAAAGAATGGAATTATAACTGTGTATAATAATATATTTAATGTTACTTAGTTAAAATTGAAAGCTACTTTAGAGTATTGTGTGATGAGAGGATATTATGGAAACTTAATGTTAAGTTTATAATTGCAATTTAGCTGGCTTTGCTATTTGAATCTAGTATTGAGTATTAAAAATTATTGATAATTAATTAAGCATTGCTAAAATGATAATCTTAAGTAGGGTGTAAACGAGCCAAAAACCAGCGAGTCCAGGCTCAACTCGTGTTCGCTCGTTTATATTTTGAGCTCAAAAAGTGTGCTCGTGTTCGGCTCGTTTGCTTAGCGAGCCAAACATGAGCTGTTCATGAACAAAGAGATATTTTGACAACCTTAGTCACTCAACCAATTAAATTATTTAAAAATACTACTCGTGAATTGTGTGTATATATATATATATATATATATATATAT